AACCCCACGGGTCCCCCGAGGAATCCGACTGATGTCCTAGGGAATCCCATGGATGTCCGTTGGATTCATATGGACGTCGGAAGACATCCTGCGCATTGTCCTGAGGAGCCTTGCGGGTCTCCTATGGAATCCGATGGATGTTCGAAGGAATCCAATGGATGTCCTGAGATATATCATGAATTCCCATTGAAGCCTTATGGATTTCCATATGGGTCCTGTGGATTTCCACTGGAATCCCATGGCTTCCTTCGGGGGTCCAAGGGATGTCCGAAGAAATCTCCCAGCCCCACAGGTCACGGTCGAGCAGGACTATCAGTTCCCCAAGCCGGCCAAACTAGCCTGGCACATCTGCAGATCTAGGCCTCCCAGATGGGACCCGAGTAGATGGGGTCGGAGAATCGCTTCGCCGACGCATCGCCAGCGCGGCTCGATGCGGGGCCCGTCTTTCTCCACGCTGACGTCGCCGATGCGTCGCCGACGTCGTCGATGTATGGCCGACGCATGGTCGACGCATGGCCGATGAATCGGCGATGCTGCACGATCTTCCAACCACATCTAATGGGGGTCCCATCTAAGAAGCCTACAGCAGGGCATCTCGGCGCACCGAGCTCGCCGAGCAGCGCGCGATCATGAACTGCGAGCAGATCAAGAAGGGCGAGACCCTCGGGCTGAGCACGGTGAACGCGCTGCTCGGCGAGATCGAGGACCTCGCGGGCGTCCCCGAGAACGTTCTGGCGATCGAGCCCACGGCGGCCGTCGCCTGGGCTCGAGGATGGCCAGGGTGAGAACGAGTGCGCCGCCCTGCAACCCGAGGAGCAGAAGCGCTGGGCCGAGACAGTCGAGAAGGCTGAGCACCTGCTGATCACGGTGCACTCCGAGGCCCCGGTCGCTACATCTATGTCAAGGTGTCCAAGCAGGGGGGCATGCGCGGCCGTCGGGTCCCGCGACGCCCTCAAGCAGCCGTCCGAGAACGCCATGCAGGCCGCCACGGAAATCCTTCGAAAGCTCGGCGCCTTCGGCCCTGCCGAGGAACGCCCTCCGAGCAGCAACAAGACGTTCTAAGCAGATGGTTGGACTTGCGGGCTCAGGGTGACGAGGCTGGCCAAGCGCGCCTTGCGCGAGATCCGTGGCGAGGGCCGCAAGCCGCCCATCGGCATCACCCAGGCGCGCACTCGAGCCAACGAGTGGATCCAGAAGCTGCAGGACGCGAGCGACAACCACTCCGCCACGGCCACGGCCAAGGCCAAGGCCAGGAGCCAGGGCAAGGCCAAGCCGCTGAGTGCCCCGACAGCGCCAGAGCCCAAGCACGGCAGCCTCGAGGAGGCACAGGCTGCAGCGCTACTAGCGTGGCCGAAGTGCCTCCCTTGCAAGGGCGGCCCCAAAGGATGCCGAGCCTGCATGGGCGAGCGGTTTGAGGTTGTGCGCAAGACAGGTTTCCTGGCGAGAACAACCAAAAACCTCTAGCTCTCAGACAAGCTCTAGAAACCGACTCTCGCCGGGCACCGAGAGCCGCAAGGGCGAGGAAGCATCATCTCCATCATCTTCATCATCATCTTCAAGAATCCCCATCGTATCCAATGAATCCCTATGGCTTTCCTGGGGAGAACCTATGGATCTCCTAAGGGATCTCGTGGATGTCTTAAGGCATCCTATGGATGTCCTGTCGGTTCTTTTGGATATCCTCAGGAATCCTATGGATGTCCGTAAGATCCCGATGGGTCCCCTACGAAATCAGCTAGATCCCACCGGAATACAAAAGATGTCCTTCGGATTCCGATGGGGTGCCTCAAGAATCCGATGAATTTCCCTGGGATTCCTATAGGGTTATTAAGAATCCGATTGGTTGTCAGAGGAATGCTATGGTATTCCGCAAAGAATCCGATGGATGCCCTAAGGGATCCTACGGATACTCATGGGATGCCTACGGATGTCCTACGAAATCCCATGAATGTCCTAAGGGATTTATTTGATTGTTTCATGACTTTTACAAATCTCCATATGAATCCCAATGCTTCCCTAAGAAATCATATGGATGTCCAAAGGCATTTCCTATGGAATCAATACATGTCCTGAGGATTCCGATGGACAGATTAAGGAATCCTAAGTACGTCCATAAGATTATTATGGGTTTCCTTGTGAACTCGATGTGTCCCTAAGGAACCCCATGGATGTCCTGAGAAATCCCATGGTACCCTGAAGGATCCGACGGGTTGGCTTTAATTGTTCTTATGATAGGAACGCTCGGGATCATCTTGATCAGCATCATCGTCATCATGTTCACCAGTACGCTGAGATGTTCGAGAAAACGTTTACTATCCCCGTTGGACCCAGAACTGTTTTATTCGCAGTGGGGTTAGTATCGGGAGATGTCGGTTAGCTTACACAGCATAGCTTCCACCACATATGTTGCACCATACAGCAGCTGGCGACGACACGGGCTTGACCACGTAGCTTGCTCAACACAGCTTCCACCGCAGACTCTGCACCACATACCTTCAACACGTAGCTTGCGACGATGTAGGTTTGAACCACGTAGCTTACACAGCATGACTGGAGCCACGTAGCTAGCACCACATACACCGCATTACACCTGTCAATCCAGGCAACCGATGAGAATGTTGTAAGCGAGCCCCACACCAAATCATGACACATCGGGCAACGAGTGAAGACGTTTCAAGCGACACCGCGGCCAAACCATGTAAATCGTGAGGACGTCTCTAGCGAAACCGCGCTCAAACGAGGATCAACCAAAGAAACCGTGAGCACGCTTTGAGCGAACCCGCGCCAGAACCAATCGAAACCACTCGATTTGTGAGAAATCTCAAGCGAAACTGTGCCGACACCAAACCAAATTAAGCAAAGTGCGAATACGTCTCAAGCGAAACTTGCCCTAAACCAAACCAAACCAGAGACCCAACTAGGCAAAGTCTGAGGATGCAGGCGGGGCGCCCAGCCAAATCAAGCCAAATCAGGCCAGACCAAGCCAAACCAGTGGCCAAACGAGGCAAATTCTGAGGACGTCCCAAGCGAAACGCTCCAAACCAGGCTCCATACACTTCCCCACGTAAAACGGCATCAAGGAATGATATCCCAAGGGCCCCCCTGGCAGGGGGTCCTGCAATTAGAATTGTACGGGTGCAGGGGGGGGCGCGCTCAAAATTGGTGTCGAGCTTTTGTTTTCTTCGGACTCGCCCCCCCCCCGCCTTCTCCAAAAGGCAATCGAATTATTTGGCTGGGCCGCAGCAGGATGTGTGCCGCTGGGGTGCAACAACATGTATGTGGCCAGGATGCAACGACATGGATGTGCCTTGCGAACGTTCTCGGGGTAACGGTATCGCGTCAGTAGACGTGATTCCCAGGGCTGTAGGGACAACATGGAAGGCGTCTTCGAAGCTCTTCGGGCGTTCTGGATGCCCCTTGGATCTTTCTAAGGCCGTGGCATATTGGCGGCCTCGGAACCCTTTTCTCGGGACGTCGTGACAGACAGCATAAGATTGACGCCCTGGGGACTTGGAGACCGCCTGGGAGGCATCGCGACGCCAGTTGACTCTCACGACATGTGGCATGTACGCGCATGGGTGCGGCAAGGGGGGGGACCTGGAAAGCCGTGGGATACAAGCCAGAAAGCGAACGATCAGCATGACGCTACGAACCACGTGCCAAGGATCACAAAGGGTGGATCTGGGCAGTCAACAAGCTCCAAAAGGGGGCAAGTGTGCCCAGTCCCGCCCAAGACAGCCATCGAGGCCTGCAAGACAGCCGAGGAAGCCCCGAAGAGGTCCCCAAGAGGACTGAGGATGCCCCAAAACGTTCTCGACATGACCCCAGGAGGGCGCCACATCCTAAAGAAGCCCCAGAGATGGCCGAGAAGCCTCCAAGTGGTCTCTAGAGCTCCAAGAAACCCCAAGAACGGCGCCGCACTGGTTCCTGCTCCTCCTCCTCCTCCTCCTCCTCATTCCCTCCTCCTCTTTGTATGATTGATAGTATGCTGCTTAGTTGTCTTACTATTCTTATTTTGATTTGTATTCATTATTGTGTATGTTTACTGTTCTTCTTAATAGTCTTATTAGTATTACTAATACGCTTCGTAATAGTATTCGCCTTCCTCTGCTTCGTCTTATTATTATTATCAGTATTATTATTACTCTTAGCGTTGTTTTTATTCCTCCTCCTCATCATCATCATCATCTTGTTATTCTTCTTATTCCTCCTCCTCTTCCTCCTCCTGCTCCTCCTCCTCCTCCTTCCCTCCTCTTCCGCCTCCTCCTCCTTCTCCTCCTCCTCAGTTGACGATCCCTTCTGGTTTTCGTCCTCCTCAGCAGCATCATCCTCCCCTCCCTCGTCCCCCTGCTCCTCCTCATCATCATCATGATCATCATCATCCTCCTCCTCCTCCTCCGCCTCCTTCTCCTCATCACCCTGATTCTCCCCCTGAACACTTTCCTCCTGGCCACATTGTTAGTCCTCCTTCTCTTCATCCTCCCTCCCCCCTACTATCCTACTCTCCCCGCCGGTTGCTCCTCCTTCTCCTGCTCTCCGCTGCTCCTGCTCCCTGACTCCGTCCACACTGCCACTTCGAGACCAGGCCAGACCGCACTGCCGCAGACCAGACTGGACAACGTCCGACCTGACCAGACCCGCCATGACCAGGCCAGACCAGACCCAACCAGAGCAGACCGCACCGAGCACACCACACCAGTCCAGTCCAGGCCGGGCCAGAGCAGACCAGTCCAGACCAGAGGTGGGCGACGAGGAAGAGGGCCAGGCGAGGAGGCCCAAGAGGCATCCAACTGAGGATCCGACGAGCCCATGAGGCCGCGGCACCGATCCCAGCATGGGCGGATTGGAACACGTGTAACAACAAGAAGTTGACAGAGGGTGCAGCAGCGTTGAGAGCAATGACAAGACCTAAGCAGCAGGCATGCGGATCCATGGCTTAAGACTTGAGAGGAGCAACCGTCTTTCGATAAGAGAAAAGCGAGGTCGCAGCTTGGATGCGCCAATCGTGACCCGAGGCACTTGTCGGGCATTCGGATCCATGACGAACATCATCTCGCGAACCTGGTTTGCTGATCAGTCATGCGGTGTTACTCTTCGCTCTTGCAAGAACTCGTGTCTTCAATCGTGGCTCAAGTAACTTGGTCCAGGTGGAGCTAGACTACACCGACAGTGCTACGCACGCCTGTGTTGACTAAATACAAACACTGATACTGGATGGCACCAGACCGAAGCACAACGTGGCACGATAAACCGATCAAAACGAACGGACAGGTTGAGAGGCTCTGACGCGGAAATTAACATGAGCGGGAACAATAATTCGGGCGAGACATGAAGACCAAAAACGCTGATGAAAACGGAAGACCAGGAACACGCAGCCAATGCACACACACACACATAAGCAGCAAAGCACAAAGGCCACCCATTCATAGGATTAGACTTCTCGTAGTATGCAAGACGTTATCTCTCTCTATCTCTGTCTCTCTCTTTCTCCCCCTCTATATCCGTATGTGTCTATATATAAATGTGTGTCTCTCTACAGACTCCGAAGTATTTCCTTTGACACCAAATCGACACCCCAACAACACCCGAATGACACTTGAAGGGTTTTGCGCCCGACACAGTCGGCATCAGCGGATGCGCGGTCCAAACGCCCCCCCTATACTTCTAAGCGGGTTTCCGCCTGCGGGGGGGGAGCCTGGAGTAACCCAATCCTATATAAGAAAGCGATCAAGCAGAAAGTGGGTGGAGCCTGGTTTGGGCGATTCTGCTCAGGACACCCTCACGATCTACCCGGCTTGACCCTTGTTTGGCCTGGTTTGACCTGGTCTGGCCTGGTTTGGCCGCGCGCCCCACATGAGACTCAGAATCTGCCTGGCGTGGCCGTTGGTTTGGCCTGGTTTGGGCCTGATTCCGCTTTAGACGTCCTCAAAATTTCCATGGTTTGGCCATGGCGTGCCCTGCTTTGGGCCCCATTTCGCTTGAGACGTCCTCACAAATTGCCTGGTGTGGCATGGTTTCGGCCCGGTTCCGCTTTCGATGTGCTCGCAGTTTGTTTGGGTTGGCCCTGGTTTGGAATGGTTTCGGCCCCGTTCCGCTTGAGACATCCACACAATCTGCGGTTTTCGGCACTGCATTGATCAGGTCGTGGTGGGTGCGCAAACACAAAAAATAATGGCACTGTGTGCAATGAGCACCTACATTGCTCCACATCTAATGCTACTGCGCTACAACATGATGGGCGGAATGGGCGTGGACATTCCCAACACACTGTGCATTGGCATGGGCGCACGCGGTGGCGTTCGGAGAGAACCTTAATATGAGAAAACCCTTTGGAGCCTGATCTGGCTCGGGAGTATGTCCCTCAACGCCACACCATACCGAAACCCCAACAATACCCGAAAGACACCTGAAGGCTGTTGGGCCCAACCCCGCCCGCATCAGCGGACGCGCGCTCCAAAATCCCCCTCCCCCATTACGCCATAAAGTTCTAAGCGGACTTCCACCCGCGGGGGGGGGCCCGGGAGTGATCCAATCCTATACTAAGAAAACAATCAAGCCGAAAATGGATGAAGCCTGGTTTGGGCGATTCTGCTTGGGAAGTCCTCAGAATCTACCAGGTTTGGCCCTTGGTTTGGCCTGGTTTGGCCGCGCGCCCCGCCCGAGCCATCCTCAGCCCAGCGGCGGTCGTTTTACGAGCCCCCCCGCAGGCGGGGCCCCAGGGCCCCCGCCCCGAAGGCCGAGCGGGGCCTCGCACTGTGGAGGCAAGCACTTACGCTGCGCCGCCCGAGCCTCGTGGCCAGCTGGCGCCGCGGCGCGCCATCGCCACGCGGCGGCCCGCTGCCCCCCTCCGCCCGGCGGCCATTCTTTCTGCGCGGCGGCATCGCCCCCCTTGATCTGCCGCTTGGGGCGCCGCCGACGCCGTCGCCGGAACGCCTCACTCGGCCCCACCGACTCTCAGATCAGATCTTGCTGTTGTGCCTGACCAGGCCCCGGCCGCCCCCCGGCGCTCGACCGCGCGACCCCACAGCGTCGCGAGCCGCCTCCTCTTCAGGCCCGTCTTAGGCCCCGAGCCCGCGAAGCCAGAGGTGACAAAAAATAGGAGCAGGCGGGCACCTTGCCGCGCTCCACCTCGCTCAGCATGGGGCAACTCCAGTGCGGGCGGAAGGCGCGGCAGCTGCCCATGAACCGATCCTGAGAGAGGCCCCCGCCCCCGCCGTGGGCGCGGACCTGCAAGTGCCTGAGCATGTCCTCCGTGGCCCTCTGCTCCGAGAACGTGGGCACGCGTTTGAGGAGCTCTTCGCGAGCCCCCCGGCTGCCGGAGCCAATGGCGCCCATTACTGCGCCAATTTCTTTTCCCAAAAGCCCGTCCAGCTTGATGTTATCCCCTCTCGTGGCGCCGATTACCGACGCCAGTTTGGCCGCCCTCAGGATCGACAGGGTGCCCTACTGATCTGGGGGCCCGTGGCCGAAGTAAATCTCCGTCTGATTCTCTGGGCTGCTCCCCAAGACTGCTCTGTCTGCCTCACCTCCTTGTCGCTGGCCATCTCCGCGCGACCCTTCGCGACGGTGGAGCACGACGGGAGGATGATGACGCGGTACTATAACGCAACCTTGCGCGTCTCTGACCACCTGCGTCCGCACCTCTAGCTCGCGCACCTCCAATGGCCTTCACCCCCCGTGGTGCCTAGCGGCTCATTCACCCGCGTCGGCACCGCGCAGCGCATCCACTCCTTCGGTTTGAGGGGGGCCATCTTGCAGCGCGTGCGCCCGCACATGATTTGGTTATCTTTTACCGAAGGCGGTGGTGACGACTGCTGCAACTCCTAGCCGTTCGTCGTTCTGGACAGCCTCGCAGATATCCTTCAACTGGACGTTCGGTGCCACATGTCCGCCCGCGTTTTTCCTGATACCCGCCTCTATGTCGCACTCGATGGACCTGGTCTGCTGCGACGGGGACTCCTTCTTTGTTCCCCCCTCAAATTGGACCATTCGGCCTTCAGGCCGCCTGTCCCTGGACCGGGCCAGTAGTCCTTGTCACCGTTCCACTCGTTGCCTCCGTGCCACCTGAAGCACATCTATCCGCACTTGCGCAAGGGATCGGAGATTATGCTGATGAGCGCCATCGGGCACTGGCCGCCCATGGCCCCGGCAGCGTGCTCGCACGCGACGACAGAGCTGATGCTCTGGAATCATGGAACATCACCGTTCTCATAGGCCAGGAAGAAGTTCGAGCGACACGAAGCCTTCCTCACAGAAACGGCACGTAACTTGGTTGGCCACGACCACATGGCCAACCGCAAACTTGTGCGTGCCGTCGGCCTCCTTGACAGCTGGCCTCATCTCGCGGGCGATATCCGAGGTCACGAACCCTCCGCGGACCTCTTGCTAGCCCTCTTCACCACATTGCGAGCTCGGCGAGATGGAGACTCTGCCAGCCTTGCGGCCGCCCACAAGGGCTCCAACTGGTTCCAGTCCAGGAAGGTCGTACTGAGGGCTGCCCCGCGCTCCGCCCCTTCTCCAAGATCCTCTGCCCAGCGGCCTGGCTCCCGTCCTGGAGGGTCGTGCGGAGCGCTGCCGCGCGCTCTCGGCCCTCCTCCGCGGTCCGCCGCATCGGCCCCGTCCGCCTTCCTCCTGCGCGACGGCATGGCAGGCGCCGGGGTGGATGAACTTCCCTCTCCGCAACGGCGCGGCGTTGAGGGCGCAGGCCCAAGGGCCAGCTGCTCCGCCCAACCGTTATTCGGAAACGGCCGAGCGCCCGAGCCCAAATGGCCACAGACGTCGAAGAGGAAAGAGGATACACATTCGCGTCGGCACACGGCTGCATATGTCCATGTGTATCTTATATATACACATACATGCATGAACATGTGTGTATGTATGAACGTATGTATGTATGTATGTATGCATGCATGCATGCATGCATGCATGCATGCATGGATGGATGGATGGATGGATGGATGGATGGATGGATGTACGTGTATGTATGTATACATGCATGTATGCATGTATGTATGCATGTATGATTGCGTGTATGGATGAATGGATGGATGTATGTATGAGTGTGGATGTGTGGATGTGTGCTTGTACATACGCATGTGTTGGTGTTTCAATATCAAGCTTGCTTTGTAAATAAAACCAGAGGGTTGGTCATGAAACTCCCCCGACTATCACACGTGCCGCTGGCAGCAGCAAGCAAATCCGGACGGGAATAAAATGCGAAGCAGCACTACGAGACCACATGCAAACCTGATAAGCAAGCAAAGTCGAAGTCCTGGCCTGCGCGCCGTCTGAATCGTAGTACCACACCTCCATGGTGGACTTTGCCATGAAATCTTCCTCCCGCCTGGGCATCCAGCATCCAGACAAAGCTGCCAGAAGCGCAGTCAACGTTACACATAGTCATACACACAAGCAAGACTGCATTGGCGCTCCGCGCCACGCATCTAGGCCCTTCAAAGTTATGAGTTGGCGGGATGGTGAATATGCGAATTAGACCGTACAAGGTACCCTAAACAGCAGCGCCGCATGAGAACACAAATGGTGACCCTATATCAAAAGGAGCGTGCTTGGTGTGGGTTGCAACTACCGAAAGACACCGAACACAACGCAGCACATGTGTCGCAGTCTAGAACTCAAGCACGGCATGGCAAGGCACGCGGGCACGGCACGGCAAGGCACGGCACGTCTTGCGCATCCTAGAACCTAGGCACAGCACGGCACGGCACGGCACGTGAGCACGACACGTCACGATTTCTCGCACTCGAGAACCTACGCATAGCACGGCACTGCAATTTCTCGCATTCAAGATACAATCAACAAGTATAGTAAGGACGCGCGATAAGGATGCAAGGGCCCTGGACGCCCATTTCGAAGCTCTCTGAGCGGAAGGCGGCCAGCGAAAGCGGCAAAGGCTGGACCGAGGAAGCAAGGATGCAAGGGCACCCTTGGGAAGGTTGCCCATCCTTACCATGCGGGTTGACTGTACACGTCGTTCATTTCTAATCGTGTTCATTTCTAATTGTGCTCGTTTCTAATTGTGCCTGGCCCCCGAGTGGCCAGGAAGAGGCCCAGGATAGAACAATTAGACATGAAAGGATCTTGGCCCCCAAAAAAACCAAAGAACTCTCGAAGAATGAGACATGAACAACGTGTAACCCTCGCTACGGCACGGCACGGCAGAGCACGCGGGCACGGCACGGCACAGCTTCCGGCTTCCAGAGCCCGGCCACGGCACAGCACGCAGCCCGCGGCGCGCGGGCACGGCACGGCAGCAGCCCTCGCGGCCTACAAAGGCCTGGGCACGGCACGGCACGCCACGGGACGGCACGGCACAGGCACGCCACGGCACGCTCGCGCTCGAAAACCTCATTGGGCACGCCACGGGACGACATGGCACACTGATCGCATGCTCGAGTCCAGGCACCGCACGGCACGGCGTGCGGGAGCATCACGACACGGCAGCACGGCACGGCACGTCACATCTCGCGCATTCCAAGGGCCTTAGCAAGGCACGGCGCGGCACGGAGCATGTTTCGCATTCTGCTACCTGGGCAAGGAGCGGTACGGCACGCGGGCATGGCACAGTAGGGCACGGCACGCTGGCAACAGATGCTTCGCACCCTGTGTTTCAGAAGCGGGATCTCTTAAAGCAATTCAAAGCCATTGCAGCAGTCTACGCTTAGAAAATAATCCGCCACTGCGCCACCAGGCACGAGCTGGAGTGTCCTCAGCTCCCCTGTAGTCCTCAGTCCTCAGGATTGGAAAAGGCCCAGACCCCAAATTCCGAAATATCCTAGAGATTCCGGCGTGCCTCTCTGGCCTAGCCGCGTCTTCACGCGTGACTTGCTCGAGCCCAAGAGGGCCCAAAAAGGCCCCCACGACGGTGTAAGAGAGCCCGAGTCGCCGAAACATCGCTCCAAGACATTCTAAATGGCCTCCAGACGGCCCAAGAGGCCTCCAACACGGCCGAAGATGCCTCCAAGAGCACCCCTAAGAGGGCCCCGAGAAGCAAAAATCCTTGATGTCCTCTTAGTTTATGAAAAAATGTTGTTCTCGCCATTTCGGTCTTCCGACGCTCCGAGACGTCCACAGAGGCCCCGAGAAGGCCCCAAGACTACCCAAGAGGGCCCCAAAACGCCCCCAAGGCGGCCCCAAGACGGCCCCAAGAGGGCCCCAAGACGGCCAGAAGAGGACCGAAGAGGGAGAACACGGACTGATATTTCGCGCCCTACGCCCCAAGAAGGGTCCTGAAACTGGGTAGCAGGGCGCCCAGGAGCCGCCCAAGAGGCCACGAGGCCACCAAGAGGCCCACCCCCAACAGGCTCCAGAACGCTCCCGGAAGGCCTCCGAACAGACCCCAGCAGTTAGCCCTGAGAACACTGCCCCACAACCACAGGACGGTAGGGCACGACCCCTGATAGGTAATACGGTATTCCCATAGCCCCCACCGCTCCGATACTGCCTCTGGAGCCCCCCACGAGGGAGAAGGCTGAAGAGGTGGGGAGGAGGTGTCATGTGGGATGCATGGGAGGAGAAGGAGGAGGAGGAGGAGGAGGAGGAAGAGGAGGAGGAGGAGGAGAAGGGGGGGAGGAGGAAGAAGGAGGGATGATGAGCGGGCGTTCTAGGAAAATTACTCTGTGACGTACCCAACCCATTTGTATCAATGGAAACGAGGAGTTGGCTGAAACTTGCATGGACAATCAACTTGATGTGTAAGCTACTTGGGACACGCGCCTATGGCATGATGCGCAGGAGAAACATACAAGAACGAGGGGCGACAGCTACAGGCTCGAAGAGGACAGGGGGAGTCGGGAACGCAGAGCAGGAGAAAAACGTGCGGGAAGCCGAACCATCAGCACGGCAGCAGCAGAGGGAAGGTGACTGCAGGAGGAGAACAAGGACGAAAGCGGCGTCTAATTTGAGTCTGCGGTGGGTACCCACTGTGCTGTGCCCCTCAGCATCCCTCGAAAGTGGCGACAGTTTCACAGATCGCAGCCCCCCAGGGATGGCGAGGTCTAATTTGAGTCTGCGGTGGGTACCCACTGTGCTGTGCCCCTCAGTAGCCCTCGAAAGTGGCGACAGTTTCACAGATCGCAGCCCCCCAGGGATGGCGAGGTCTAATTGTTCTAGGAAAACAAAAACCCACTCAGACTGTGGGAGTGCGAATTGACACACAGATCACACTCAGATGTGGCTACATATGTCCTTGCCTCTCTCTCTCTCTCTCTCTATATATGTTGTTTGTGTTATCTCTCTCTCTCTCTCTTTCTATCTTTCTCCCCCCTCGCTGTCTGCTGCATTACCTGCCCCCCTCAGGATCATTATTTCTCTCTCTCTCTCTCTCTCTTTCTCTCTTGTTCTCTCTCTCTCTCTCTCTCTCTTTCTCTCTCCCTTTCTATATGTGAATAGTTTATAGGTGTGTGTATATCATTATCTCTCTCTCTCTCTCTCTCGTTAACGCTCTCTCTCTCTCTCTTTCTAGTACTACCTGCCTCTTTCTTTCGTTCTCTACAAATCTCTCGGTATACTTATATATATATATACATGTGCATGTGAATATATGTATCGCTATGGCTCGCGTCAGTTCGTTGTCTATCCCTATCTCTCTATCTCGCTCTACATATATACGTATGTATTCAAACATATATATATATACATATAGATGTCGGACTCTATAGATCTGCATATATACATATACATATGCATACATATGATACAGTATTATCTTGTCTCCTTGACTGAACCCTCGAGTACAAAGACGTCCTGTCATCCAATCGCCTGTGTGCCCTGCCGACCTTAGTGATATCCAGCCCCGAGCAGGAACGTCACGGCGGAGTCAGCAGCGCGGGCAAAATGCAAAACCCTCGCGTGCTCAATCTGCCAGCCCGTACACACACAGCAAGTAATGCCAGCGCATTGGCCAAAATATTCAATCGTTCAACCATTTCGGAACCCCATGCGCGTGGAACCATCTGCCTGTGGAGCCCTGTGTGAAGCCCTTGCGCGTGGAAGCCTCAGTGTGTGGAGCCCTATGTTCAACTTCTCCCTTCCAATGCGGCTGGTGCCAGAGCCACCAGCCGAACGGTCTGAGGCTGCCGCGGCAGCCTCGTGCAGCACTGGGACAGAGCGACCCCGAGAATATTCGAGACTGTTCGGCAAGACTTGCCGAGCCCAGGCACAGATTGTCTCGACAATGTGTGGAGCCCATGTGCGTCGAACCCTGTGTGTCCACAGAAATTTGCACGCGGACGCTCTTCCACCACTGGCCGCGCCAGTGGACCCCACCTGCACGCCCTCACGCTCCAGCGTCTCTCTGCACGCGACTCGCCCCGCGCAGTCCATCCGCCTGCAACGCCAGGTGGAATTGACCGAAGCGCGTCCCGCCCTAGTACTCGCGACGGTGCCGCCACCTCGCCCGCTGGAGGAAGAAGTGCGTGCGGAAACCTGTGTGTCCACAGGAGGGTACGTCAGCGAGTTCCGCCTCAGCACTCGCGATGGTGCCACCACCTAGCCGCTGCAGGAAAAGGTATGTGCGGAAAGCTGCGTGAACCGAACAGGAGGCTACAGGGGGAGCTGGGCCACAGGAGTCCAGCGGCAGGGGCCCGAGGCGGCTTCGGGAGAGAGCGCGGCAGGCAGGGGCAGCGGCGCGGGGGGAGCCAGAAGGGCGCACTTGGGGGGCCCAGGCCACAGGACTCCGACCAGCCACTGGACAGCATGAGCGGCACGCGAGGCAGGCGAGGCGTGAAGCCATGCAGCAGACATGCACGATGAGAAATGTTGCTCCAAGAATCTGGGGGCACGTTGGCCGTCGATCTCTCGGCTTCCCTTGGTGTTCCCTGGGCTGGGGGTGGGTCCCCAGGGCCACAGGGGATAAGAGACCTCCATGAGGCACCGGATGGCAGGTCGTTTCGATACTGACGTTCCTACAGTATGGGCGGAAGCCGTGGGGGTAGAGCCACAGGGGCCCAGACAGCCAGAGGGGGAGAGCGCGGCAGGCAGGGCAAGCTCCTGAAAGCGCAAGTCAGAAAACATGCCAGCACTGCTTGGGGAATTAAGATATTATTCCCCGACCTTCAGCGTGGATACCATGAGTAGCGGGATGTTCTGCGTCCCTGTGATGCGCGCTTCTTCCACAACGGTTTCCCTCAAGTTCTCTCTACATCCACCTTCTCCTCATCCTCCGCTGCATCTTCATCAGCATCAGATTCACCTCCTCCCTGAGCATGATCACCATCGCGATCGTCATCATCCCCATCATCATCATCATCACCACCACCACCACCATCCTCATCATCATCATCATCATCATCATCATCATCATCATCATCATCATCATCATTATCATCATCATCGTCATCATCGTCATCGTCATCATCATCAACATCATCATCAACATCATCATCATCATCACCACAACCATCATCACCGTCGCCATCAGCATCATCATCAGCAGCAGCAGTATGATCATCATTGTCATCGTGATCGTCAGCATCAGCATCATCAGCATCACCATCATCAGCATCATCATCGTCGTCATCGTCGTCATCATCCTCTTCATTTTATTCATCCTTATCCTCATCCTCATCCTCATCATCGTCAGCATCATCATCATCAGAATCGTCATCATCATCGTCGTCGTCGTCGTCGCTACTCGTCATCCTCACTCTCGGCTCGCCATCGTGCTCAGGATCAACCGTCATGGCAAGACGCGGAGCCCCAACAGCGCCTCTGGTAGATGTCCACCAGGTTGCCGCCGTTGAGCGCCTACATGCCAGAAACAGCCAGCAGCACCAGCGGCAGGCTCACACTCAATGATGAGGGAGAGAAACGAGAAAGGGAAAAAGAAGGGGATGAGGATAAGGATTGGAGAGACGTCAGACTCAGGATCGGGGGACTCGGGCTGGCCTAACGGGGCCATCAACAAAATGACGAGACCCAATGTGAAATGTTACGCGATCTTCCGCTGCAAACATCTCACGAAAACTGGACAATCAAAATTCAGAACGGGTCCATCAAAAAGCGTCGGTAAACCCGAGTTCCGGCGAACTCGAGTCTTAAGTTTCCCCGACAGGAGGAAGAAAAGGAAGATGAGGAGGGAAAGGTTGAGAGGGAGAGAAGGAGGAATTAGGAGGATGACGACGACAAAATGACTCTCCCACACCGCTCGCCCCGCCGCTCGGCAAGTCGGAAGGTGCCGCTGCGGGGACAGCGAAGGGCAGGACCAGTCATGAGGGACAACCATAGGGGGAGCTGGCTCGGGGGGGAAGCATCGCCCGTGCGGGCTCCGTCTGCTGGTTCCTAAGGCAGTCTCCCCCACCCCAAAGGGACGCCAATCTGACCCTGAGAAGAGGTTCTACGGTTAGTACCGGCCCTCGTCGAAGCCACACCCCGAACACACACACACACACTCTCATTACAAAATCTGCATGCGGGCTTCCCCTTGCGGCCCGCCACGACTGGATGACTTCTGCCCCTTGACTCAACAAGTGTGCGTGCAGTGCCAAATGCGTACTGCTGGCTCGGCCCTCTGTGGGACCTTTGAGGCAAATGGCTGCGGAGGTGTGGAAGCGCTGCTGCAATCCAACCACCAACAAAGGAGGGAGGACGAACTTACCAACCAACCACCAACCAACTAACCAACCAACCAGGGAAGGAGGGCGAACCAAGGAGTCAAGAAAAAAATGGCTCCGAGCTTTGAAGAAACAGCTGCGCTAGAGACAAAATATCCATGTGCTCACTCGACGCTCCGATCGGATCGAGAACATACCTGGTAGGATCCAGGTAGGATCCGATGGAGTCACACGGAAATCATAGTGGAATCGTGTTGCAGTCGTGCTATAATCATATTGGGACCCTGCTCGGATAATGTTGGGATTCGAACGGAATATGATTGGAGTCCTCTTGGGATCCGAACGGGACCATATTTGAAACCTGCTGGCATCCAATTGGTTTCTGCATTGGGATCGTTTGGGGATCAAATTCTGAAGCTATCAGGTTCCGATGGGAATCATGTGGGGACCCGATTGCACCCCCCTGATTGGAATCATGATGGGTCATCTGGGGATGCTGTCAAAATCAGAATCAGAGCCTACTTGGATCCTACTGTGATCCGATCAGGACCTCGAGAAATCCAGAAGAGTCCTAAGGAGTCCTACGGACTCCAAGGAGAAGTCATGAAGGAATACAAGAGGATCTTTGAGGGCAAGCAGCGAAATCCTAAGGAATCCGATTGGACATCACATGAAGTGCCAAGGAACCCGAAGGAAACCCAAACGAATCCAAAGGACACAGATGGAAGCCCTGAGGAACCCGAGCGAGTCCTCGGACATCCTCTTCCTCCTCTTCGAGAGTTGTCCTGCAAAGCCTGGTAGGAGGAGTAAAACTATGCGACATTAGGATAGCGCACGCCCAAACACCTTCCCCAGAGCACATCGCGCGTTACCTTGAAAACAAACAGGGGATCACAAAAAAATGATTCCCGCGCGTAGGCGTCGGGAATTATTCCGAAGGCCACCCAACTGGAATCCTTTTTGACCTTCTGAGACCGTATTGGGCGCCCATTGGGATCCCATTGAGATCCGACTGGGATCCTCCTGGAGTCCTGTTGACATGGGAAGAAAAAACTGTGTGGGATCCTACTGTATGCATTCTGAAAACCGATTGAAATCCCATTGGGATCATGTTGAAATCCTCTTGCGATCATGTGGGATCCTCTTAGGTCATGTTGAGATTACGATTGGGATCTTAAGGGTTCCTATTGGGATAGTATTAGGATCCTATTGGGTTCCCATTGGAATCCGATTGGAATATCACTGGGATTCGGTTGAAATCCGATTGGAATCAGATCTGCATCCAATCAGATTCTAGTCGGGGTATTCTGTGGATCTCATTTGAATCCTATTGGAATCCGAAATAAGTCCTATCAGTGGAAGTAACCTGTAATCATGTTGGAGTCCTATGAGGATGGTCGTGGGATCAGATTGGAAATCGATTGGGACCCCATCGCAGGAGGAGGGGATGGGAACCTGGCGCCAGGGTAACGCTTCTAGGGTGCCAAATGCGCTACACTTCGACCATATGAAGGGGGCACTCGTCGTTGCGTCCTGCGGCTGCACACCAGTGCCAGCGCCAGCAACGTAGCGGGGGAGGAGCAACAGGCAAGACCAGCGTGGAGTAAAAATAATAATAATAATGATAATGATAATAATAATAATAATAATAATAGTAATAATAATATTATTAATAATAATAATAATGATGATAATAATAATACTAATAATAATATTACTAATAATAATAATAATGCGGCATAGAGGCGCGCCGTGTCTCTGGTTTCCCACAGGTCCGAGGCAGGGCAGGCCCGAGCAGGCCTTGTGCCAAAAAGTAAAACGTAAGCACTCTAAGAGTGCAGAGGAACAGGGACAGCGGAAAAAAAAATCATTATTGCACGGCTGCTAGCCGAAGCTGGGTTTAAACCAGGAGCAAGCGAGAGGGCCTAGAGAGAGGCGAAGCGAGAGAGGCCAGAGCCTGTGGCTGAAGCACCTCGGCAATGGCCGTCTCGGTGACGAAGGCGAGCTCCTTCGCGCGTGCGACGCCGCCCCGCCCCCCTCTCGTCTTGTGTCGGGCATGTCCTCCCACAAGCGGATGTTGGACGAAAAAAATAGTCAGCACATACTCAAACGTCGTCAACAGAGCACGAAAAATCGTCCCCTGACTATTTCAACTATTCTCCAATGTTCTTCCTGTAGAGGGACGTGCCCGACTTGAGCCTCGCCGCAAAAAAGCAGAGGCGCGGGCGGGAAGGCCGTCTCGACGCTGGCGTGGTTCGCAGAGGCGCGAGCGGGGCGCATGCGGGCTTGGGGGCCCCTCAGGGGGCCGCGACTTGGCCCAAGCCGGCGCGTTCCCCCAAAACGCTGGCCACAGCCCCCCCATGTGGGCCGTCTCGGAAAGCCTGAACCCAAAATTATGGTCATCTCTTCGGGTCGGCGGGGCACATCGTCTACTTCCACCGCCTTCCGCCGAGCTTCCGCCGAGCTTCAGTCGGCGGCCTCGTCCGCCAGCAGAGGCGGCCTCGTTGTACTTCCGCCGACCTTCCGCCCCCCTTCCACCGCCTTCCGACGAGGAAGAGACGACAACTCCTTCGATCCTCAAAGGCAAAGAGGCCCTTTTTGGAACGCCTCATGTATGAACAGGTCTCACGCGAGATGGTGTAGCAAACTTATGGGGCAGCTTACGCGGGCACTCACGCGCTCACGCGCGACCTTACGCGGGCAGCTTCCGCGGGCGCTCACGCGCGACCTTACGCGACCTTCACGCCAATGTCCGCGCAGCCGACCCCGCTTTCTTCCGTCGCTCACGTGTAGGGAGCCACCCTTCGATCTAGCCGCGAAAGCACCTGCACTTGGCCCCACGGCATCACGCGCCCTCTGGGGATTGAGTCTGAGCTTCTCTCCTGCAACGCTCGCTGGAATCGGCCCATCTGAAGAAGTACTGCACTTCTGCACGCAGCACTGGAACTCTCCGAAGACTGTAACTCCCCAGACTTCCGGGGTAGCGATTGCTCCACAAGGGGATCGCCGCAGGCCTCGACCCTTTCCTGGGGCCGGCTTTCCACCACGAGACGTTTCTGGACGGCCCCGCGGCCTGGTGACGGCCCCCGGATGCGGGAAACAGCTAGAACCCTCCGTCGTGATTTTTCCACGACTCGACAAGGCCAGGGATGCGCCCGACGCCCAGTCGCCCGGTAAGGGCCCGCGGAAGCAGAAAACGCCCACCACTTCCTGGCGCTGATACTATCACGACGCGAATAGATATGGGTTTCGGGTCATGGCTCCTGTCTCTGGCGGCTGGTCGGAACGATACACGCACCCCCAGAACGCGCTCGGCGGCAAAGCGCAGCTGCTGGAAGGCATCCTGCGACTGACAAATCTCAGGGAACCAACGGGAACGCCCACAAACATCGAGGAGGCCCGCCCGAGAGCCCAGTCCCAGCGATCCTCCGACGGCACCTCCACCAAGCGGCCGAGCCGCACGCGCCTGTCGATACCAGAGGCTGGGGCCACGTCCTGGGCACGGAGGGGCGCGGCAGGGTTGAGCAGCCCGAGCGTGGCAGGCCTCGGGGATCGGCCCAGACCGATCGGGGATCTCTGAGAGCTGACGAGTCTACTCTCATCTCCTCCTGCTGTTGCTGCTGCTGCTCCTCCTCCTCATCCACCTCCTCCTCCTCCTCGCCTTCCTCCTCCTCCTCCTCCTCCTCCTCCTCCTCCTCCTCCTCCTCCTCCTCCTCCTCCCTCCCTCCCTCCTCCCTCCCTCCCTCCCTCCCTCCCTCCCTCCCTCCCTCCCTCCCTCCCTCCTCCTCCCTCCTCCTCCCTCCCTCCTCCTCCTCCTCCCCCTCCTCCTCCTCCTCCTCCTCCTCCTCCTCCTCCTCTCCTCCTCTCCTCCTCCTCTCGCCTTCCTCTCCTCCTCCTCCTCCTCCTCCTCCTCCTCCTCCTCCTCCTCCTCTCCTCCCTCCTCCTCCTCCTCCTCATCATCATCATCATCATCATCATCATCATCATCATCATCATCATCATCATCCCTCCTCCTCCTCCTCCTCCTCCTCCTCCTCCTTCCTCCTGCTCCTCCTCCTTCTCCTCCTCCTCCTCATCATCATCATCATCCCTCCCTCCCTCCATCCCTCCCTCCCTCCCTCCCTCCCCTCCCCTCCTCCCTCCTCTCCTCCTCCTCCCTCCTCCTCCTCCTCCTCCTCCTCCTCCTCCTCCTCCTCCTCCTCCACCTCCTCCTCCTCCTCCTCCTCGCCTTCCTCCTCCTCCTCCTCCTCCTCCTCCCTCCTCCTCCTCCTCCTCATCATCATCAGCATCATCATCATCATCAGCATCATCATCATCATCATCATCATCATCAATCATCATCATCATCATCATCATCATCATCATCATCATCATCATCATCATCATCATCATCATCTCCTCCTCCTCCTCCTCCTCCTCCTCCTCCTCCTCCTCCTCCTCCTCCTCCTCCTCCTCCTCCTCCTCCTTTCTCCTCCTTCCTTCCTCCTCCTTCCTCCTCCTCCTCCTCCTCCTCCTCTCCTCCTCCTCCTCCATCCTCCTCCTCCTCCTCCTCCTCCTCCTCCTCCTCCTCTCCTCCTCCTCCTCCTCCTCCCTCCTCCTCCTCCTCCTCCTCCTCCTCCTCCTCCTCCTTCTCCTCCTCCTCCTCATCCTCCTCCTCCTCACCATTTCCTTATAATTGGCATGCGTGCCATGGCTCTTGCACATCACGGAGAGGGAAGGGGGAGTAGAAGGAGGAAAAGAAGGAGGAGGAGGAGGAGGAGGAGGAGGAGGTGCTCCAAGATGGCCTCCAAGATGGCCCAAGAGAACGCAAGAGTCCCCATCATGCCTCCAAGAAGCCCCAAGGCGGCCACAAGACAGCCCCAGGTGCTTTCGGAGCACCGTCAGGACCTCCCCAAGAAGTCCAAATCCTGCAAAAATTACAGAACATGAATCAGCTATTCCTTGCCACTTTTTCCGTTCCGATTGATTTTTGAAGCCTCCAGGCCGGGCTGGCTGCCTGGTGGGGACGTGGGGGGAGAGGAGAAGCTGGGCTGGCTGGGGGGGGGGGAGGCGGTGCTGGTGCCGTGCCTGCGTGCCGAAATAAAGTGGTCTGGGCAAAGGGGGCGCGCCGGATGGGAGGCGAGAGAGAGAGATGGGCCAGTCAGGGGGGGAGGCGGTGCCGGTGCTGTGCGTGCGTGCAAAAACAAAACGGTCGGGGCGGAGGGGGCGCGCCGGCTGGGGGGCGAGGAGGAGCTGGGCTGGCTGAGGGAGGAGGGGGACGCAGTGCCGGTGCCGTGCGTCCTCGCATCCCCAGACGTGTCAGTAGGGCGGGCCTGGCGGTTCGCCTGAGACTTCCTCACCACTCATGGTCTTAAACCATACACCTTTAAAGGCTTCAGGGATAATGGAGGGCGGGTGATTTTCAAAGTGTGTTTCTCCCCTGAACACCGCGCATCTTCGTTTCAAAAGATTGCAATGGCTTCAAGGATGGCGAGCAGGTGATGTTCAAAATGTAGCTCTCACCCTAGCGCCGCATAGACTACTTATGTGGCTCTCGCCTCAGCGCCGCGCATATTCTTTTTTCCAACTGCGTAAAAAGTTTCAAGGATGAGACGGTTCGTTTCCAAATGCAGCTCTCACCTTAACGCCGCGCGTTTTCGGTTCAACATGTTGGAGCATTTCCAAGCATTATTTTCAAGGATTCAAAAGCTTGGAACTACAGAAATGGTGTTTTTGTACGATGCAGGAGCGCGTCAGGACAGAACTGTCACGTTGATTCGTGCTCAAGTCCCAGGCATAGTGTTCTGGCACGGCTCAGGATTCCCGGGACGCATCATGCACTTTGATTCGCGGCGTTGAAATCCCAGGAGCTGTGTTGGCCACGATTTAAGATTTTCCGACGATTGTCCTTCATTGGGGTAGCTCCCGCAATGAAATTGAATTCATGTAGGGACCTACGACGAGGAAACCTTGAGGGAGGGTGTATTGCAACATCGTTGACACATCTTATACTTACACTGGTCCTCCTCCTCCTTCTCCTCCTCCTCCTCCCTCCCTCCCTCTTCCGCCCTCCCTCCCAACCTGCCTCCCTCCTCCAGTGAATTCTCTCGGGCAGGGGGTGCGGGAGCGAGTTTCGATGACAAGCTTAGCAAAGGCACGATCATCAAGAGCACTTCAGAGCGGCGGCAGCCCCGCTCAGCTACAACGCTGGGACCAGGCCCGCCAGAAGCGCAGCCATTTGATGGCCAACACTTCGCTTCCTGCTCTCGTGTGCCCTCCAATTCCGTCGCCATTGAACCGCCATCTCGCCCGATGGCACCATCCAATTCGAATGCTTATCTTCAGCAGTTCGCATCCCGTGCACGCTCCACCGCAGCATCGAACAGCCCTGGAAGTGGGCATGCAACGGCGTGCATGGGAAGTCACCACAGTCAAAACAGGACGAGCCCAACGCCAGCAGTTGCCACATCGGCGACCAGGCAACGCCTTCGGCGAAGAACGAACCACGCGCCATCAGCCACTATGCTGAGATACGTTCGGGCAACAAATCAAGCAGCATCATCCGCTACAACGCTGGGAGCGGCTCATGCGTGAAAGCTAGCAGTGGCAACAACGGTTGCCAGAGCGAAAAGGCAGGCGGCGGTAGCCGCAGAAATTGCCAGTGGCAGCAGAAGTTGTCATCAGCTGCAAAGCTGCATCATCAGCTGCAAAGCTGGGGCCAGCTCGTGCGAGCAAGCCGGAAGTGGCAGCATCGGTGGCCATTGCAAGGCAGTAAGCAGTGGCAGCAAAGACTGTCAGGACAAGGGGACAGGCAGCGACAGCAGCGGCTGGCGGCGTGAGGCAGCCGTTGGAGGAACAAGAACATGAACCCAAAGTCATCAGCTACACTGATAGGCCAAGCGCTTGCGCGAGCGGAAGGCAGTGGAAGCAGACGTGCTCAGCTACAGCTTTGGGAGCACCTCGTGCAAAGGAAGCTCGAGGGCGCGCGTGCGAACGCGGCAGGCACGAGAGAGGGTCATCAGGCAGGCAGTGGCAGCAAGTACTTTGTTGCCCACGGGGGTTCGTGCGAGAAGGCAGGCAGTGGCGGCAGCTACAGGGAGGCGGTCAGCTCGTGCGAGAGGGGAGCAGGCGTGCACAGCAGTCACGCGATACAGCGCATCCTTGGACGACCGGCCTCTGCGGGGGGGGGTAAGGCGGAAAGTGATTATATGTGACGATAAGTTTTTCTTATATTCCTTTCCGTTTAAAGCATTGTCATGCTATTTGCTTTCTTTACACTGTCGTGGTTATTTTTCTCTCTCGTTCTCTCTCTCTCCCTCTCTCTCTCGTTCTCTCTCTCTCTCTCTCTCTCTCTCTTTCTCTTTCCGTAGTTTTCGTTTTCTTGGTATTTGTCGTGATGTTGGGTCTTCTCTCGTTCTCCCTCCCTCCCCCCCCTCCCTCTCCCCCCCCTCTCTCTCTTTCTCTCTCTCTCTCTCTCTATATATCTCTCTCTCTCTCCCTCACTCTCTCTCTCTCTCTCTCTCTCTCTTTCCATACTTTTCGTTTTCCTGGTATTCGTCCTCGCGCCCCTCTGTGGGGGTGAGGTGGAGACGGCGCTGGGGGTGCGAGGGTGCCGAAAAGCAACAAAAACATAAAAATCTGTCAAGACCTAAGGAAAAAACAGGAAAATCAAGGTCCCGAGTGGTTTTTCTGACGGGAAAACAAAAAAAAAACTTAGGTGTTCTTTGGTTTGAGAGAGCGTGATCCACCGCCGCTTTACTGTGGAAAATTGCCAACCTTTTCCTCCGGAACCCGGGGGTCTCCCCCCCCCCCCTCCGAAAATCCCCCCCCCTGCTGGAACCCCTCCCCCCCCCCCCCTCCCTCCCCAAACACCCCCCCTCCCCTAACCCCTCCCCCCCCCCCTCCCCCTCCCCCTCGAAAACCGGGGGGGTCACTACCGGTTCGAACCCCTCCCCCCACCCCCCCCCCTCCGGATCCGGAAAACCGGGGGGGGTCACTACCGGTTGGAACCCCCCCCCCCCTCGAAAACCGGAGGGGGTCACTACCGGTTCGACCCCCCCCCCCACGCACCGCCAGCAAACGACTCCCGGTCCCTACCACCGCTCGCATCACATCCCCCACTGTTGTTCCCAGCACCACTGTCCTCACCACCACTGTCCCCACTGGTTCCACCACCGTCCCTATTGTCCCCACCAGTGCCCCCACCACTGTCGCACTGTCCCCACTGTTCCCACAACTGTTCCCACCACGGTTCCACTCTCCCCACTGTCTCCACGGACCCAACCACTGCCTATCCCCACTGTCCCCACTGTCCCACTGACTCCTCCGCTGTCCCACTGAGCTGTCCCACTGTTCCCACCACTGTCCCCACTGTCCCCACCACTGTCCCCACTGTACCTCTGTCCCATTGTCCCACCGCCGTCCTCGCCACCGCCTTTACCAGTGTCCCCACCACCATTGTACCCTCCACTGTCCCAGTGTTTCCACCTCATTCCCACTGTCCCCACACCACTGTC